ACAGATTGAAGATTTTGCTGCATTAGGTAAGCCAATTGCTATTTTATTTTAAGTTATATTGGCTGTCTTGCCAAATCTCATTTTTAATTATTATAAGTAGGCGATTAAGTGAAATCATATCGAAATCGCGATTTGAACATATGTGATTTTTAAATCACCTTACAGCACGATTTTCTGACAGTATGCTATTTGAACCAATCATAATGCAGCAAGCCTTAAAAGAGCACAAGGTCAGGAGACTGAGCTTAATGACAAATAGCCTGCATAAAAAGAGATGATCAGTTCAGCACAGGAGGACTTGGTACCCAAAAACTCAATATCTATGATGTGGGATTACTTTCAATAGAGGAAGGCGGATGTACTGCCGAATCAGGTAGTTTATAAGACCTGTCAGTCACTTATCGTGTCTAAAAGCGTGTGGAAAGCGTCAGTATTCAGCATGCTTTGTGCTTGCACACCTTTGTCGTTGCTTGGCATCCGTCAACTGTTTTTTTTTAGAGTATGACAAACTAACAAAACATTGCCCTAGCTTTAATTTGTGGAGAAAATTAAAAAGCACTGCAGTGTTTGGGTGTTCTATGTTTGTCTAAGGTAATTAGTCTACCGAAATGTGTATATTCAATACAAAGTAAGAAGCTGATCGCTCAGTTCTTGTTACATGACTTACGGTGCGCTTGCAGCATTCTGAAAGTAGAAATGTTTTCAACTTGGTGCGCCTGGAACACGCGCATGCATCACTCCCAATATTAACGCAAGCCGGCCGTCTTCATTGGAAGTAACAAACTTGTGCACTCAAGACCGGATATGTGAACGGCCTATTTTATGGCAGCCTCACAAAGAGGTCTATGATCTATGCATGGCAAAAAAATATATATCTGTAGACATGTACAAAAGTTCATGCAACTAGTTCTGACGTGGTCAAACAGAACACTTGTGTTTGACGGCGCGCGCGCATACACACACACACACACACACACACACACACACACACACACACACACACACACACACTAGTCTATTTATTTGTTTTGCCATAGGTCTGTTCTAGAGACAATTTGTTACACCTTTAAAAGGTGATTTTTTTATTTAATTTTTTGCTTTGTCTTTTTTAGAGCCATGTTACAGGTCTTTGATAAAGATCTAATTGTTTTCCTTTAAAAATAGGTTTCAGATTCAGAGCCAAAACCGTGATTAAAATCGCAATATTGTTCAAGAAAATCAGGATAGGTTTATTTTGCCCATATTCTACAGCCCCAATTATAAGTATTTATTTATTTAGTCCCTCTAAAGGTAATGTATTATGGCGTGTTTATAAAGAGTTGTTTGTTGCTAGGCAACAACTTGGTTTTAACTTCTGCCGTTTCTAATAAAGCAAAGTTCAACTTTGTGTTTTTGGCTGAAAAGTTCATATGCAATTTGCAATTTCAACCAGGGAGATCAATTTCCAGAGAACAGGAAGACACAACACTTTAAAAAATGCTGGGGTTCACACAATTCCTTTATGTTGTCTCAACACAAACCGATTAAGTCAACGTAATTGCTTTTACTTATTTAAGTGAATTGAAAATAAAATAATTAAGTTGTCCCATAAAACTTAATCGTTGAGTTGTTTCAACTCATTTTAAATAAGTAGTTTAAACAAGCAGCAAAAGTTGTTTGAGTGAAGTCAGGTACTTCTTCAAAATGAAACTCCAGTGTACTTTATAATGTCACTCACCCTAGCTACATCTGTTTCACTGCATTAAGGTTATTATAGTTAACGTAATAGAAATGAAAAAATTAAAACTAGAATTGAAATTTTTCATTAACTGAAATAAAAACAAGTTTTTAAAAGAACTATAACTAACTAAAACTGGTTGCTTTCAATCAAGTAATTCAGATGGAGGGCAAGAAGAAGAAAAAATCTGAATGGGATACATAGAGGAAAGTCTGTATTTTTGCAACTTATACCCTATTTTAAAGGAGATATAAATAGAAAACAACCACATATGTTGGGCATGATCCTTATATCATGAAGAGGACCAAGTTTTCTACTAAACTAAAGTATATTTGCCTGTCATGTAGGCAGTACATACTGTATAAGCTAATATACAGATGGTTACACACAAACACACATACAGTTATACAATATAGATAATTACTTAAATTAACTGCCGGTGTAATAATATTGTTGATGTGGTATGACAAAACTGTAGTATTGAACAAATGATTCAGCAGGCTTCAGTTCTCTACGCTATAATTATACATAATCACAATGCACAACAGTTTACACCTAATGTTACAGTATTTATTACAGTTTATCAGTTTACCATGCTACAGTATTCTATTGCATTCATTAACAAAGAGTTATACACTTTACTATGTGGTTCGAAAACATGTCTATTATAAATGACTAGTTTTTTTCCCAAGCGGATATTTTCCAGACATCATGAAATAACAGATTAAAGCATACTAAAGTGTGAACGCATAGCCTACATTATGATTTATTTACTTTTATAAGAAGGCAAAAGTGCTTCACAATAATAACCATCTAGTTTTGTTGTCAGGGTTGCATTTCATTTTTGTTCTGTTTATAAACTTACCATCAACAAACATTCACCTTTGCTGCACATATAGACATTAAAGTTATGGGTGTTTATTCTGCCGAAATGCCAGTAAAGACATGGATTACTGCAAAACAAGATAGAAATTTCATTGCAGTGATTACATGGCAGGCTACACTATTTTTATTCTCCTGGATTTTGTATACACGTGGTGGTGTTTGTATATAACACATTAACAAATTTATACAGATAGCTAGGCATGTATATCATTTTTATTGGTGCTGTCAAACAAATTATTGCGTTCAAATTGTTTTGCAAACAAATAGCTTTTTTACCAGATCTGTTAAGGCCGCATTTACACCGTTCAAGTGACTCAATTCCAATTTTTTTTCTCCCATGTGGCACAGATCGGATATGGCCCATGTACGTGTAAGCAGAAAAAAAAAAAAATCACATGGATTCCGTTTTACTCAAATCAGATTCAGGCCTTATTCATATGTGGAAATGTATCCGATATGAATCGGATCTGTGTTCTCGTGTCTGCAGTGTGAGCAGGTAGATCGGATTTTCACTTGTCAATGCAAGTCGCACGTCATTAAAAACAATAGAGAGTGGTGTCAAGTCAGACACTTTCATTTCAGAACAGGCTTCAGCAGTCCCAAACCTTAAATCTTAAACACGAGGACTTAAACAGCTTATATTGTCCTATAGCACAAGTATAAGCATGTTAACGAGAGCGAGAGAGCGCAATGTCCGCCACCTAACCAATATAAACTAAACTAGTGCATAGCTAGCTACATCACATGCATAAATCACGCCATGGACATTACATTAAGATGCCCAAAGGTTATAAAAAAATTGCCTATATATCAAAAGAAGATGGACAAATGAGAAACTTTTTGTCATAAACTATAGTAAAACAGCTTGTCAAATGCTGCGAACAGAATATATACAGGAATAGAGAAAAGAGCACTCTCCAATTATCAGCTGCAAGTCATCGCCCGCTCTTTTTTTTCTGGTCATTTCGCCTTTGCTGTGTGCTGTGTAAATGCAGACAATCGGAAACGAGTCACTTTTAAAAGATGATGCAAGCAGGTCATCAAAAAAATCGAATGCAGTAACAAAATCGGAATTGACCATCAAGATTTGCAGTGTGAATGCAGCCTAAGTAAATCGGTTGAACTAGTTCACCAAATTGAACTGAATCATTTGAAATTATTTGCGTTTCCAGTAAGCACTTAACCACAAACAACTTGCATTTTAACAACCCTGATACCTCCTCCTGATTAAAAATAAACCAATGAGTTATTCAGTTATTAGAACAGTACACAGATTGGACTTGAAAACAGGTGAACCAATAATACTGAGAATGTGTGATTCAGCAGGTGAACCGAACACAAACAGTACATGACAGTGACTGTACCAAACGTAAACAACTGATTAAATTGAAGCTTAAATGAGAGGATTTGGCGAAATGCAAGTTTATTTCATAACAAAGTTGTAATAGAATTTAAAGAAGTCAATCAAGCTTCATTTGAGTTGCAAAACTTAATTGTAAGAAACATTTCAGATCATGGTGATGTTTTAACTGACTGAAATTATGATCGCGGACTACATATTTTTGATATGTTGAGTCCTAACATGGGAGAACTGTCACAAAAGATCTGGTTCATGGAAAAAATGCAAACTTCCCATCACTACTGTATATCTAACCTCAGAATCACCCTTGCACATCATTACAACCCAATGTTTGTCTTGTCCCATCTGTTCACTGCTTTGCCTAGAACACATCTAATTGGCCACTTCCAGCTTGCTTGTTCCTGATTGGCCTCCAGTGTTTTAAAAGCCATGACACAACTTCCTTGGCAGCCATCTTGTTTTTGGCCACTTGCTTTGTGTTTTTTTGTATGTGGTACAGTGCAGAGTTTTTGAATATGTTAAGACTGTGAATATTGAGATTTGGAAGTATTGTTTGTTTTTGTGTGACTACTGAGATTCTATTGAGATTTGTAAGTAATTTGAATCTTGCTCCTATCAAATATCCTAATTTCAAAATTGAAAACCTAATAAAAACTAAAACGATTGAAAAATCCAATATTACGATGATATACAGTAAAGCATGGCATTTAATCATTTAGAATTTAAAATGTTAAAACGTAAGACATCAAGTACACATCTACGTCATATGTCCATCTTCACTCTATACATGTATAACAAAAAGTAATGAGTCTCATTAGTATTCTTTGAATAATATTAAACAAATTATCTGCCTGTGAAAAACGTTGTGTAATAAACAATACGCTGTAAATTATACACTCTAAAAAATGAAACACAAAATTGCCTGTAGTGGCCAAAATTACAATTACAGAAGTAAGTTCACTTAAACAACCCAAAGACTAGTCTGTTTTGACAACACCCATTCTTAAGTGGTACGTTTTAGGCATACGCATGACTCACCTGCACGAGCAGCAATGAGGTGGGTGGTCCGGTTGGGGTCTTTGGCATTGAGCACCAAGGTCTTGCAAAGTTTGGCACCCAGTGCCTTGCCATGATACCACTCTCTGGTGCGCTCCATTGGGTAGTTGGTGGGATACAGGCCACTGAAAATGACTGTGGTTCCCGCTAGTGTACGGCCCTTTAGTTCTGGAACAATTTTGCGTATATCCGGACTTTCTGAACTCTCTTTCTTAAGGAAGGCCTCGTAGCGTGAGTAATACTCATTGTGAATGCGAACTAAAATCTCCTCCAAGTAAATGAGGTGGTCGTCCTGGTCTACGTCTTCCTCTTCCTCATCATCCTCATCCTCCATACTGTGATCTAAAGACTCTTCCCCCATAGTCACACCTGACTGTTCGCTGTTTTGAGACTCAGTTTCCATTTCCTTTTTGTCGGAACAGCCGTTGCCCAAATCACGGAGACCCTCAGGATCTGTTACTGGACCATCACCCCCCTCTGTCCTCTGTTTGTCTCCATCATCCTCTTTGCTTTTACACTCCTCATTTTTTCTTTGTTTGGGTTTCCCAGTGTCTGCTGTCTTTCCCTCACCATCGCTGTCAGATAATTCCATTTTACCCTCGCTTTCGCTGTCGCTAGAAAGGTCAAAATCCAGGTCGTTGGCAGCAGCAGCATCAGGAGCAGCATTTGGGATTTCACTTTCACCTGAGATACATGACACACCTGAGCTGCCCTCTGCCTCTGTTTTCACAGTACATTTGTCCCCTGAATCTGCGCTCTCATTAGGCTGTTCCCCAGTGGGGTGAGTCCTTTCATTGGCTGAAGCTCCCTGAGTGGCAGTGGAAGAAGTGGACGATTCCTCATGCCCAGTTTTATGATCCTTGCTGGATTTTCTAAGGCCATTTCTCTGTTCCTCTTGTCCTGACTCTGTGCCTTCCACAGTCCGTCCGCCCTGATTACCTACAGCATGACAACGGAAGGAATTCTTAGACACAACTTTTGAGAAACAGCTTGTGTTTATAAAGAGTCTTACAAATTCGAATGCAATTCTACTCTACACATTATTACTTTAAATTATTAAAGCATTATAGTGTTGTTTTTTAAACTGATTTTGGATACAGGGCGATAGGACTGTGCAATTAACCGAAATCGAAATGCAATCGTGATTTCAAAAGTTGAGATTAGCTAATTGCAAGAGGCTGCGGTATGAAATATGTATTATTTCATTTCCCCCACCCAGAGCAAACACGTGCATGGCGTCTATGTGTGACAGTCTTACTAGCCATTTGAGTGAGCACACTTTCGTTCTGCCCAATCAGAATTGCAAAACCAAGCTAAAAAAAAAAAAATCAAACATATAAAAGTGCAGATGAGTGGGATGATGGCGTCTGCCACTTCAAAAGCATTAACAGACAAATTAATACCAAAGAAAAAACAGGGCATCTGTAACATGGGAATACTTTGGTTTGAAAGTCACACAAAATGAAAGTGTAATAATTAATGACTGAAGAGAGACTTATGTTTTATTTTAGCTCCAATCCAGCACAAAACTGTTATGTTTGAATGGAAATATCAAACCCCAAAAAATAATGTTTAAGCAGCTGATGAAATGCAGACAGTGCCATTTCTCACATCAGACTGCTCTGCATTTTGCACCACTTTACATTTAACCCATCTCTGGTAGTTTAGTTTTTTCATAAACATAACATAAAATTGTCATTTTCTCACATTTAAACTTGTTAATTTATTTTTAAACACAAAAAGCACTTTTTAATTATGAATGTGTCGGTTCAATTTTTCCTAAAACTTTGATCTTGATAAATTATTCAGAAACTGTGCATGACTGTAACAGAATCCGGAAGTCAGCTTTTAGACATTGATTCTGAATATTAAACCACATATAAAAAAAACTCATGATTTTGTTAGAAAATTTCATGTTATTGATATTATTGGGGGACAGCACGGTGGTGCAGTGGGTAGCACAATCGCCTCACAGCAAGAAGGTTGCTGGTTTGGGCATCGGCTGGGTCAGTTGGCATTTCCGTGTGGAGTTCGCATGTTCTCCCCATGTTTGCATAGGTTTCCTCTGTGTGCTCCGGTTTCCTCCATAAGACCAAAAACATGCGCTATAGGTTAATTTGGTAAGCTAAATTGTAAGTAGTGTATGCGTGTGAATGAGTGTGTATGGATGTTTCCCAGTGATGGGTTGCAGCTAAAAGGGCATTCGCTGTGTAAAACATATTCTGGATAAATTGGCGGTTAATCCCGCTGTGGCGACCCCAGACTAATAAAGGGACTAAGCCAAAAAGAAAATGAATGAATGAATGAATGAATGGTGTTATTGGTGTATTATCCTCTTTTTTAGCTCTGAATTCACTGGTCTGCTATTGTGGTGACAATTCAGCAAAAAAAAAGTGATTGTTTGCTTTACCTATCATTAAATTGTCTTTTGGACTGTCCCTGACCATTCTAACTGAGTGGTCAAAGTTCTCAGACTAGTATATCTCCAACTGCTAGAATCATTCTGAATACTGTGAACAGCAAAACAGAAGTACTAAAATGCCTGCACCAAACACTGGGATGCAATTTTGTGTGTGTGCATGCGTGCATGCGTTTTAAGAGTGGTTACAGTGAGATAACAAAACTTAACAGCAATACATAATTTATTCGTCAAGTCTGTGCAAACACATAACTGGACCATGAAAGGGCTCTCGTACGCCTGGCAAAAATGGGACAAGCGCAGACTTTGGATTCAGTATGCAAATCATTCTTGTAAAAATAATGGACATAAGAGGCCTTCAACCAGTATTGTGCTTTAAAAAAATGTTGAGAAACACAAAACAAGACCACTAGATAATCAGACAATCATTGCTTGACTAATTTTGAAATTTAGAATTTGCCTCACATGGTTTACAAATGGAAGGTACAACAAATACGCCGTCACTTTCACAAGAGAAGCTCCACTTAAACACCTGTTCACCCTATGAACTGAGTTCACAAGTAGACGTTCTCTTAACCTTATTTCTTGTGTCCAGCCATCAAGGACTCACTTCAAACAGCTCTTAACAGAAAAGTGGAGCTATTTTCAGCCTCTGCATATTCTTGTGAACTTTTAGTTTGTGCAGGAGTAAATCAGTCTAATAGATCCCACATTGACCTCCACTGGCAGTGTTTTTCACAGAGCTGCAGTAAAATGTACCGTGGTCCTTCATATTTCTGAGCAGATTATTTCAGCGCTTGCATATAGTGAGGTCACGTACACAAATCTTTATTCAAACACCATCACATCCTATTAAACCGTCCCTGCTTAAGAGCAAAACAACTTTTCGAAAAAGTTTTGCTATTTGAATTAAATATAATTTCCTTTAAAACTTTTGAGGATTAATTATCTACAATAGAAAATAAACCAGAAAAAACTCAAAAGGACATATGCTGACAGTTGTAATGAATAGCACAAAAGCTATGCAAGTTATGTCAATACAAATTTGATTCTCAAAATATTATTTTTCCATATTCTGACCCTGACACTGTACGCTTAAAAAAAAAAAAAGATGTGTATTTTTTTATTTTAACCATGTGAGGGCTACGCAGTGGCGCAGTAGGTAGTGCTGTCGCCTCAAAGCAAGAAGGTCGCTGGTTCAAGCCTCGGCTGGGTCGGTTGGCGTCTCTGTGTGGAGTTTGCATGTTCTCCCTGCGTTCGCGTGGGTTTCCTCTGGGTGCTCCATCAAGTCCAAAGACATGCAGTATAAGGGGCCGATCACACCGAACGCGCTTTATGCGTTGAGAGGCGCCTTTTTTAAAATAGTTTACTAATGGCCAAGAGTGTTTTGCACGCTGCTCATGCATCTTGCGTTTTTGTCATTGCGCGCCGATTTATTTGTATAGCGCTTTTACAATGTAGATTGTGTCAAAGCAGCTTCACATAAATGGTCATAGTAACTGGAACAGTGTGGTTCAGTAACTGGACCAGTGTGGTTCAGGTTTTAGTGTTTAAGTTCAGTTCAGTTCAGTTTAGCTCAGTTCAGTGTGATTTAATCATTACTGAGAGTTCAAACACTAAAGAGCCAATTCATCGATGCGTAGCTCTACCAATCCTGAACCATGCGAGGCAGTGGCGACAGCGGAGAGGGAAAAAAAACCTTCACCTGTTAACTGAGTTAACTGAGCGGAAAAAGCATGTTAACTTCACTTGCGTCTTTTTCATTCTCCAATCAAAGGAAAGCAGAGGCAGGTTTTCCGTTGAGGTGCTTGCAGACTTTTGAAGATGGAGAGACTTGTGGTTGCTGTTTTGGGTTATCCAGAGCTGTGTGCTCAGCTGATCCAGTCATTGCGTAGCGACAAAAAGCACAAAAAAAGGCAGTTCGGTGAGCCTTGCGTTTTTGGATCGTAAATGCGCGTTCGGTGTGATCGGCACCCAAGTGAATTGCATAAACTAAAATGGAAGGGCATCCGCTGCGTAAAACATAATTGGCTAAATTGGCGGTTCATTCCGCTGTGGCAACCTCTGATGAATAAAGGGACTAAGCTGAAGGAAAATAAATGAATAAAAGAATAACAGTGAATCATGTGTTGATGACTTGTTGATATGAGAGCACTAATTTTGATTAAATGTGCAATTTTAATAGTCAAATCAATACTACTGACTCATGGGCCAAATTGCAGGAAGTAGACAGCAAATAATGCTTTATTATGTTAAAACTTTCTTTTTTTTAGTCTTATGTTATACAGAATGTCAAGATAAGCATTATATAATTGTATTTGAAACACTGCTTACTGTGTTAGAAATAGTTAAATATATAAATACAGCCTATTTGCATGTTTATTTTGTGTAGGCCGCATGGAGCCACAGCAGGGGAACTAAAGAGCTGCATGCGACTCCAGAGCCACGGGTTGCAGACCCCTTGTTTAGATAGATGACATTTAGGCAGTTCTCTAATGTTAATGTTCAGTTTACTTGGGGAAAAAAAAAAAAAACAGGAAAAAAATAAAGATTTACCTTTTTTGGCCATCTGAGCCTCTCGTGAGCCTGGCGGGGCGTTGATGTCACCAGTGCCCTGGAAGTAGATGTACTTTTTCACCGTGATGAGGTTGGGGGCAAACTTCCATACATCTTCTCTATCGTCTATGATGCACACCATGGAGTCTCCGCAGGGGAACAAATTTCTGCAAAAGGCAAACAGTTTTTATCCTGACATTTTTATATGCTCAAATTTAGCAGCTGGTGGTCGGTTATGACTAAACAAGCAGCATCCAGACAGCGTCAGCCAGCCAAAACCAAAATGTCAATGAGCAGTTTATAACATTGACACTGGTACAATACCAGAAAATCGGTGGCGAAAAAGAATTGGGACAATTAAATGGTCTCATGGTAATTTCAGTGGATGTAGAATGAGGTCCTAACATAGAGAAAGTGTCCACAGGTGCAGAGAATCCCATTAACTAATGCCAATTATTATGTGGTATAAGGGATGCAATAATTATAGATTTTTAATTATAGATTATAGTAGAGGAAAGTTCACAGTTTCACACTTATCATGATTATTATGCATTCATTTGTTTCAAAACACTACTAGTTTAGTAAATCACATGAAAACTTATATTTTATATTATGTAAAATATAATATTTTATATTTTTAAGTGTTATTTATTGCTGCTCAGTAACTACATAATACAGCACAAAATAATAATAAAAAACAAACAATACAATAGTCCATTTCTCTTCAGACTTAAAAATAAGAGAAAAAACTTTTTTGGTACTTTAACATAAGTAATAATTTTGCACTAAAAATAAATAAACGAATAAATACAATAAAAAAAATAATAAATATTTTGTATTTGTCTAATGTAAATCTAAGCTACATTGTCTAAGTATTTCCTTTTTAAGGTGAACAACTGTAGTCAATAGCTGCTGAACCTCTGTCTGAAAGGCACTTTTGATCAATTATATTACAAAATTGATTGGTATTTTGCATTTTGTATTTTTTGTATTTTTTTATATTCCATACAAATTATATAGCTGCCCAGTCAGTTATTTTCAAGTGACTCGATATGCGGTCGCATCATTCTTTTAACTACGTGTGCCTTGAAAGCGTGAATGCATCGTGCCACGTGCACGACGTTCCTAATATGCTCACAAGAAAAGAAATGATCTCGCGCGCACAAAAGATACAACATGCGACTGGCCCTTAGTTAAAAGCCTTCAGCCATCGTTAATCCAGTCAGACCCCCTTAATTTTTCACAATTCTGCGATCGCTGAATCCAATGCAAAAATCAACAAAAAGTCGCACATTTTTCAGATCCTGCTAAATTCTTAATTAAATGCAAAATAAACATAAAAAATATGTATAATCTAGTAAAACATCCAATTCCAAATCATATAATCAAATTAGATTTATTTCAGTTTGCAATTAATTGTTTTACGTGACTTATAGCAGTAATCCGACGCGGATGAAGCGAGTAATTCACATGTGAAGTCAATGCAAAGACTGGATTAAGCATTTTGTGGTGCGATTTGGGCGTTTTGTGCATTGGACGTACTTCTGACTGCAAAAGAAAGTTGGAAACATCTATCAAACGGAGCAGTGGAGCAGCCAGAAAAGCAAGCACCTTAAAATGATGGAGATTCAAGGATGATGGCCGCTGCACATGACCTTTTTGAAGGTCTAAAAGAGCTGAATACTTCTGAATTGAAAGACATTATTTCTGCTGTACATGCATGGCTGGTATTATGGAGTGCTTAAAAATCGCTAAATGTTTTCGTTTAACTATTTTCCTGCAGTTAACGAGAGAAACCGCTTCTCTACCATTGATGAGATTTACGGCAATCTGTGTTTACAGTATGTGTATTACAGCAGGGTAAGCACTAACATGTCCTGAGTGAAGTACATGATATCAGATGCTCTGAGGAGTGAAATTTGAGAGAAAATAATATCTTGGATAAAAATAAGAGTTATACAACGTTCCTTTGGCTTATTCTCTTCGGTTTTAGATGTTTAAGATCTTGTCTTGACAGGAGACCAAAATAAAGAAGCTCTATTTTTATGATTTGTGTCCTTGTGTCAGATTGCAAATCTAACAAAGTAAGCTGCCTAATATGGTTAATATCTTTTTTTTTTTTTATGTCCGCAAATTTCTGGAAATTACAACCACAAAATCAGGCATTTTATTTCACACAAAAAAAATAAAATAAAATAAATTAAATAAATTAAATTTAAAAAAAAAAATCACAAAACAAATTGTGAAAAACTAGGGGGTCTGTCCAGTGTATGCACATATTATTCTTGGTGTAGAATCTTGGAACTTTAGCGCAGGGTTGGCATAACTTTGTTTCGTTGCAGCAGTTTTGTTCCTTGCAGAAACACAGTGTGGAGAAGCCTTTACGATGAATTAACGGTGACGAATTAAAGTGAGGTTAACAGTGAAATCGGTTAATTGTTGCATCTCTATTTTCTATCAGCAAACACGCACTAATAAAAGTGTTTGTACAGACTTCCTTTCAAATAAGCACATTGATGTTTTGCTATCCACACGTTTCAAAGTATGCCTCGAGCATCTAAACGGGTTTGTGGGTGCTGGTTATATACCGTAATCAGTATAGATTTATTTGTAAATGTCTGGCGCATCTGAACAGCCCCCAAGAACTATTCCAACAGCTCGAGTTCTGAAATGGCAAACAAAGTCATTCACACTAATAGAAGCATTGGGCTGCAGAGACTTGGCTTCTGTAGGTTTATCGACCTAAAGAAAGTAATCTGTGTGCTGTTGAAGTCTGATCGTGACGCTGTTTGGATGACACTGGCTCCTCTGTAAGGCTGCTCTGCTTTCAAGGTCGGTGCGAGAGCTGCATATGAAACCCACACATATTAACAGCCTGACACAAAGAAAGTGAAGAGAACTGGATTCCCTCCAGCATATGCAACACATAAAACAAGAAAAAGAAAACAAGTGTGTTTGGAAACATTTGGAGATTTTTTTTATTTTACTATAAAAAGAAAATTAAAGTCATTGTTTTAAGAAAGAGTTTTTTGTTATGCTGGTTGAAAGTCCCTTAACATCCTGACAGCAAAAATTAAGAGGTAGAAATGTAATTAATAGGAGTTTTAATATTTTGTGGAAGGTGTAGGACTGAGAAAAGTTCATCCAATTAAAACTTTGATTGCAATACATTACGATAGGCTGCAGTGTTTCCTCTCTCTCCTGCAGTGTTTCCTCTCTCTCTTTCTCTCTCACACACACGCACACACACGCATGCACGCACGAATGTTATCAAAATGTTAGTTTGTTGTACAGTTGGCGGTTTGCTTTCATGAAGTCACCTAGCAACAGCCAAATAATGGAAGTAAAGTGATAAAATGGATAGATTTCTGCACATCCCGGTCAATTTGCTTTTACTGAATATTTTAATTTGGGACATACAGAAAGCGACTTGCATCCAACTGCCGCAAAAATATTATAAACATTCAGAAAAATCACACAGCGTCTGCAGAAACTGTTTTACAATGTGTTTACCCTGGCTCAGTCCCGCTTGTCACCAAGGTATGAAATGTGACACACACACACACACACAAACACATTATTCCATTATTTGGTACGAGTGCATTCACATCAGAAGTGAACTGAACCGTACCCCAGACCAACTCTTTCAGGCCAACTCGGCTACGGTTCACAGTTGCGCACCCGAGTTCAGAAGACACGTTCACACTAGCTAAACGTAACGTACAATGACGTCAAACGAAGCAGAGTGCGGACCAAAAGTGCCAGTGTGAAAGCATCCTGTCCAGCAAACTCACAAGCAGTGAATTGTGCACAGTTGTCTGCTTTTTTAAGTTGTTGCAGTGTTTTAATTGCTCGCCCCCGCCTCAATCACCATAGTATTCTACTGTGACATAGCACAGATGACCGGTTATGATCTATTATAAACTAATATCAAATCATCATTGGTAGCATCGAAGAAACAATTAATTTTGACAGGACTACTATCAGGATAACGTTAGCATTTTCCGAGGTCATGTATTGCGCTTAACATAAGTTCATCGCAAATTAAGAACTGCAATGAATATTTACTCATATAAAGGTTTTCCAAAAACATTTGTTTAAATGCATTAAAAAGACACTTTGAAGAAAGTTTATAATCAAATCGTACCCTCTGACTTTTCATTTCTGGCTACCATCATTTTTTCTGGTTCAACAAAAGAAACTCCTAAGTGGATGCCGAGTAAATTGGCAATTTTTTTCACTCTTAAGTGAACTATCCCTTTAAAATAGGTGAAGAGGAGTTTAGAAGAGATGTTCCCAACACTAATTATGAGCCTAAAGTGCCTTTTCAAGTCATTTTAATGATTAAAATGTTCAACATCCATCTTCAAAGGTTTACTGAGTGTTTCACCTCAAAGGAAATGACATCAAGGATGTACAAATGAGAGAAACACTTGAGAAATGGGGGTACATTTTCAAAAAGAAGCTAAAACACTTCCGAAATGTTTTACAAGTTTAAATAATTCTTCTGAAATGCAAACTGAAACAAGATCATGCTGCATAGATGAATACACCAAGGTCCAAAATATATTCAATGTTCGTCACATTCTTTATCTGTGATGCATACAGATTTAGATAAAAATTGAAGGTCTGTAACACTGCACCTTATCTGTAATTGAACAATGTTTAGTTCGTGCCTTCACAAGACACGTCTCATCTGAACATGTGCACTCGTGCGGAGATCCTTTGTTCACACTGCTGGAGTCACGAAATCAAAAACATACAGCACTTTCACATGTGGTTGACTGAGCTTTATATCTAACAAATAAAAAAAACGGATGCCTTGGATACTCTGAAAGCATGACAATAATTTAGCCTTTTTAAATGAATTCAAATGAAACAACGAGTAAATAATTAATTGCTATTTCTAAATAAGAACTTTCCACGAATTCATCAAACACCACTAATAACGTCACAGCCCACATTTAATGATGATTTCCTAAAATCATGACATGAATTATTAAAATCATGAAGGTCACGTTACTAGGGGTGTCACGATTTCGATTTTTAATCGAAATCGATCGAAATTTATGCTCGATTTCGATTATCGAATCAAAAAATAGAATCGTCGATGCTGCCACGCCCCCATGTCATGTCAGCTTGGCTTGCCAAGCGGGAAAAAACAGGCTTGTTGAAGTGCTTGTTGAACTGCAGAAGCAGGAGACCCGTCGACAGAGCTTAAATCCTCTCCTCTTTCAATGAAGTCGCCGGTGTTTAAGCATTTTGGATTTCCAGTGAGTTATGTTGACAACACTTTGTCAAGTGTTGTCGACAAAAAAAACATAGTTTTGCAAGCTCTGCTATGTACGTATTGGGGTTCGCCCGATAGACAACACCGGCATCGCGATCCTCCGCCCGCCCCCGTTGCAAATCCGCTCGCGAAAAGTGCACACTCAGGCCCTGTTTACACTATCTTTGTTTTTAAATGGCATTTTAGAACGACAACGATTTGACATCTACAGTGGCGTGTAGCATTTCTGAGCAGCCCTCCTTCCTCTCTACATCTGACACACACACACACACACAGACACAGACGCGCACACACACAGCCATCTGCTTGAGACAGCGGGTTCAGGCAGTCAGAGGATCAGTAGACTGCTTCAATCTTTCACTCACTTGTACTTAGTCATTTTAGCGAACAACTCAAATACTGTTGGCTGGTTCCTGTTGGTTGTGCGTCTTTTTTACCGACGCCATTATAACGACACAGATCACTGCCTATTCACAAGTCCCGCAGAAAAAGTGATTGACAGGTGGTAATTATGTGTGTATCTTGCCTTTATTAATTTACTGTATGATTTGTTTATGGGTAAAACAAAGACCACGCAGGTCAGGTAGTTTATACGGTAGGCTACAAATAATTAATTGGTCATTAATTAATTAATTATTCATAATCGAAAATCGAATCCAATCGTGCCTTTAGAATCGAAAATGTAATCGAATCGAGGATTTGGAGCATCGTGACACCCTTACACGTTACTAAAGGTACGTTAGTGCTCAAAAGTTTGTGGTTGTATTATTTTTTTATATATTAATCTAAGCCAGGGGTCAGGGCTGCACGATTAATCGAAAAAAGATCACAATCTCGATTCGACCCTACACACGACCTTAATTCAGCTTTTCTATGATTCAGCCAAATATATTTACAAGGTCAGGAGAGAAGAGTAAAGGCGGACATACAAGTCTTCACAGCAACATGGACACATTCAAATGTCGTTAAGTGTCATATACTGTATTTATAAGGTATAATTCACCCAAAAATGTCATCCCTGTCTAAATGTAATGATGTATTCACTGCTGCGAAATCACATAAGGTGACCGTAAGCTGTTTGACTACCGAGAATGTACACGCAAAGATCGTATTCTGTGACTCTAGTAGGCGCTGTTCTCACTGTTTGGCTTAAACTCACTCCCACAGGCTGAGTGCACATCATTTAAATGATCATATTGCATTTTACAGTTATGATTACGACGACAAGCATTTGATATGTTTTTTCTTTGCTAAAACAGTGTTGTGCATGAAAATAAATGCTTACCGTGTTAGTATAACTAGCCTATATAATGTTACAAATATTGCAAGAAAGAATCTGATAATGACAAATGTCTGATTTTACCAGTGAAAACAAATGGTCTAATAATGCCGTCAATGACAAATGACAAGCACATGTCTCAAATATAATAATTCAACATCAGAATTATGAATGGTTGTATTATGATGTCATCACTTTACTGTGAATTAACAAACAAGACATATTGAAAGTCTGTTGTGGACCTACACATAGGCCTAATTTTATTATTAGTATTGTTTTACCATATGCTTGAGAATTAACAATAATAATAATAGCCCACTAATATTAACCTTTATTTTACATTTACAGAATCGTGAGGAAATCATAATCTTTATTTTAAGCAAAAAAAAAAAAATTGTGATTCACATTTTAGCCAGAGTTGTGCAGTCCTACAAGGGGTTTGCAAACTTTTTAGCCTACGACCCCCAAAATAACAATGCCAGTAACTCACGACCCCTAATATCATCTGAGATGGTAATAAATAAACCTTGCAGTTACATGGGTCTGTGTTATTTAATTAATCTATGTATTTATTGCTGGTTTGTGCTTGTTGCGATCGAGTACTAGAAGGAGTGTTTCTACCCGGCTTATCCAGGATTGGATGATGCCCGTGACGTCACTGGGGATTCCCACTATATAAAGCTGACAGCAATGGCGTCTCTAGCTCTCTCTCATTTTATCTTGCAGTCTCTCGCCCTCCCTCAGCTCGGTGGTGGCTTGCGCTCAGGCGGTCTGGCTGGCGGTGCTCCGCAAGTCGATCATTCATCCAGATGCCGCTCCATTTAGTGTTTCGTTCATGTTAATCTTTTGATTCTTAGTTTGTAATGTGCTAACTAGTTTGTTTATTTTGATACTTTGTTTTGTAGCAGGTAGGGGTTTATTTTTCATAGTCACGTTTTGTTATTTATTTAGTTTAGCGAAGGCAAGCAGTGGCCCGGAAGACTCACCTTTTTCTATTCCTTTCACGGGAGTTAGGTAAGATCTGTCCATTTAAAGCAGTATAGTTAGAGACCTGTTTACCTTAGCTGCCCTACCTGTCTACTTGATTTTTGTTAATGTTTTGTCCTTTGAAAACTTATGATTTAAGAAAAATTAAACATATTGACGGAACGTCAATTTAACCATTCAACGTCTGTGTCTTCCATATGTTCGGCTCAAACCTTGATTGTTGTTGTTATTCGAGCCAAGTTTATTCATCATTTAATTTTGGAGAACGCCACTCGGAGACCATCCTCCATGTTCAGTTGTGGCCTGTATTTATTTTCGATGTACATAAATGCCATAAAGGTGTCACAAATTCAAAGTGCTGCATCTGACGCTATTGCTATGTTTTAATATAATGTAATCACCCTGGGAGTCGCAAAAAAAAAATCAAAAGGCTGATTTTATTTGTATGTTGTGTTTTAATATATTAACATGTTAACAACATGACTATTAATTTTGTTTTTCAGTAGGTTATGGATAAAACATGGTCATTCTAATAGTTTAATAAAATTTTACTTGATTTTTGGAAAATCGCCAAGCGACTCCCGCCTTATTGTCCCGCTACCCCCACTTTGGGAACCACTGGTCTAAACTTATATAGTTTAGTTTCTAAATACTTTAACAAACTACAAAAACCAATAAACAAGTTTAGACTAAACTAAAATCTAATTATATTAGCAATGACAGTCAAATTAAAATACACTTTTTTTGTTGCTTGCTCAAACTACTTGTGCAAAATAAGCTGAAACAACAGAATTCTTGAGTTTTTTTTTTAGACAACTTAACTGTTTTATGTTCAATCCACTTTTTAAATTTGTAAAAATAGAGAAGTTAACTTAATCAATTTGTAATGGGACAACATGAAAGAAAGTTTTGTAAAATTTGCATTTTTCACAGTGTAGAAACACTATTGGATTAAAAATGAATGTATTTCCTATATTTAAATATCGCCTTACAGGTCTCACTGGTGCAACCAAGTAAAAAAAGTTAATTTCAAGCCTTGTAACATGATAAAAACTATGGTGAATTTTCTCCTAATGGTAAAAAATATAAATGGCAGTTTTGATCGTCCTGTCCGATATAAATAAATGACCTCCCAATGGTTATTAAACAGAAATGTATGTTTTGTTCCAACATCAAGATTTATTTATTGTGATTTGTTATTTTAAGCACTGATTTCATTCTGCTCGCCACCTTTGGTGTAAAGTAAAAGCATTGTCTCACCTGAGGTTTCCTGTCTTAGAGAAGGGATCTATGCATTCGTCTCTAGACAAAATCCGATGAGAGAAGAGCTTCTTTTCTGGGTCTAAAAAACCTTTTGAAAAGAGAAAAAAGCCTGGTATGAGTAAGAGAAATAGTAAAAAAATAAATAAATAACTTTCATTTCTTTTTTAAGATAAAGCATAATTTATGGCTGGAAGCAGAGCTGTAATCTCTGTAGTTTCCCTTGGACAGCACTAAGACTATTTACAGCTATAATAAAACGGAAAAACGGAGGAAAAAATAATGCACTTCTTTTGTGTTTTCAAATTGCACCACCGACAATCTTCACTGTCCAGCTTTTCACCAAAATCAAGACTTTAATTCAGAAAAATCCTTGCTTTATCCACTGCTGATTGTGTCTATATGAATCACCGGACATAGTTTTGTGCAAAGTTCTGACAGCGAGATACCGAACATTCGATAAAAATGAAATGAAATGAAATATTTTGAAAAATAAATGAAAGTTGTAAACATCATGCTTCATCCCACTTTTACACACAAAAAAATCATTTAGCGTATTTCATATTTAACACACACACATACACGTATACACATACATACATATACACACACCCACATTTTACAAATACACAGTTGAAATCAGAATTATTAGCCCTCCTAATTTATTAGCCCCCCTGTATGTTTTTTCCCAATTTCTGTTTAACAGAAAGATTGTTTAACAATTCAAGATACTACTTTTCAGCTTAAATTGTAATTTAACTAGGTTAATAAGGTTAACTAGTCAGCGGCAATGGCCTAGTGGTTAAGTGTGCCGACATGTAGCACCCTGGTGCTCACGTTGATCAGAGTTCAATTCCTGGCTCGAGATCCTATGCCAATCCTTCCCCTCTTTCAGCACCTAATGCTTTCCTGTCTGTTCTCAACTATCCTATCCCAATAAATGTTACAATAATAATAATAATAAAAATAATAATAATAATAAATTTGGTTAACTAGGATAATAGGGCAAGTCATTGTATAACAACGGTTTGTTTTGTAGACAACCGAGAAAAAAATATTGCTAAAGGTGACTAAAGATATGGACATTAAAATGTTTTTGTTTTTTTATTGCTACTCTAGCCAAAAAAATGAACAAAACAAAAAAGACTTTCTCCACAAGAAAAAATAGTATAGGAAATACTGTGATATTCCTTGCTCTGTTAAACAGAATTTGGGAAATAAGTGACTTTGTGTGCATCACAGTAATGTTAACATTTTTGTCATTGTTTTGTTAATGTCAATATGTTAATGTTTTGTTGGCCTGCATTTATTCGCTATAAGATACAAACCAACAGTAATATATTGTATAAACTGTTTAGCATACATATAGATTTTGAAATGTAATTTATTCCTGTAACGTCAAAGCTGGATTTTCAGAATCATTACCCCAGTCTTTACTATCAGACGATTTACAAGAAATCGTTGTGATCTGTTGATAACGTGCATGTAATTATTAGTGTATAAAATTATTACTATAACAATGCACTGACTGCAATTTTTACAAATGCATTAAGTCATTTGCTAAAGTTGCACTGTATACTTCAGTCAAATAGTAAACACACATGCAATAAGTCCCTACAAAGACAAATGCTTAAAATGCATAAAGAATACTTTTTAAAAAATTGTTCCCGTTACAAATGAAAATACACTATGTTAAGAACTAACCTGAACTACAATTTAATAACAACCAAATAAGCAAACCTAAAATTAACCATCATAATATAAAGTTGAACCAATTTTCCCCAATGTTAATGAATGTATAATGAGCAAAATTCTAAGTGTTTTGCAAACAAAAGTAGCAAAATGTGCAGGTATTTTATTGCAAAACAAAAGATGGCTGACCTTCCAAACTGACGGCAAACTATACAAAACATCGCTTCATTTTTTTTATAAATATCTGCTTCCAAGATGTTAGAAACAAATATTTTCCTTTAGCATCATTACCTAATGTTGACGTTATGTTGCTGTCTCTTCACTGTACTGGTTGTTACGAAAAAAAAAAAACGTGCTCACAACAACCAATCAGATAAGAGGAACCGAGAAGGTAGCATTTGAAGGCTTAAAAACACAAACTGTTTCTTGATTCTGACAGTTTTTGCACGCAATTAACAATTAGTCACAGCCAAATTAAACTTTAGTGACAGGGCATCAGTGGCCCGATCGGGCCAGTAACGATCCTGTCTACTGTCTCGAGCATCTCAGACGCTGGCCACGGGCCATCGGGCAGTCCTTATTATTGAGCCCTGCATTCAGACATGATGTTTAACAGGCTGGTCTGAAACAAAACTAAAAACATTCTAAAACATTTTTTGGTTCCCTTTACTGCATAACAAATCTTTTAAAAGTCTCCCAAACAGTACAACAAGGAAAATAAAAAAGAAGAAATAAAAAACATTGATCAAAAACAAGTCTTAAACAAACAGAAATAAAAAAAATACAAAATCACTGACTAAAATCTTCAAGCCTAAACTTCGAGTGAAACTGAACTAGCGCTTGTACGCAAGACAAACACTCACATATGCAAAATGTGCACATGCCTGCATGTTAGGCTTCCCTGTCATTAACTGCATTATAGAAAAGTGGCTTTGAATGATTAAAAATAATAATAATACAAATTTCACAACATCTTTTCCGATTATAAACTAAAACACAAATTCCTGAAAATGCAGCATTCATAAAAAGTCAGATTCGGATGTTCTTGTTCCAGTGTACCAGTCCAGCTCTTAATTCTTATGAAAGAATGTATATATCACTCATAGTATTATCCTTGTACATTCTAGCTTGCATTTAGTTTATTTTTGTACTTCATTGTTCTTTCATTGAAACTTGAGCTGCACATTTGTTTTGGACACAGTAGTCCACATACACAAAAACACACAACACCAAGCATTAATAATACCAACAACAAGACATTTACAATAACCATCAAGATATGAATAAATTATAGACGACAACAATAAAAACTTTGAAAAGTGCGAAATCCCTAAATTGATTTTGTTTACTAGTCATTTAGCAGATATTTTATGACAACAAGAAACAGAAATGGCCAAATAGTGGGAGAATCCAAACCTTAGCCTATAGCAAGCCTACTATTTACATATTGGCTGTTTAGTAGTACTTATAAAGTACATATTCAGCATGATCATATTCTATATCCATAATCCTACAATTTGTTGTAATAAATATGCAAACACAGCAAACTTTGCACCCATCAAATGCTAAGAATATGAACAAATACTGCCACCTGGTGTTATAATAAAAGAACAACATGATCTCTCATTCACTAGGCAAAGGGGGGGGAAACGCTCAGAAAAAAAATACATTTGTAACTTTCCTCAAGGTCTGAAGTATCATTCATGTTTCACAGCATAAAGGGAATAGAAGAAATCTTTTTACAAATTTTTCATTTAAAAAAAAAAAAGTCTGCCACATGACAGTAATGTACCTGCAATAGTGTGAGCGTACAAACGGCTGCCGAAGGTGAAGACGTGCAGCTCAAAGAGTTTGGCGATCTTTTCAAGAAAGTCTTTGCAGTGAGGTCTAAGTCGTGTGTGAAGCATAGGTTCCCCTCGTCCTAGCTGGAAATGAAAGATTCCCTGAAGAAAAATATAAACAAGATCATGAAAAGATCAACTTAACTAGAAAACGACACAATATATAAACTAGCATAACAATATTAGACAAGTTTAGACACTTTAGAATAATAGTCCGTTAGTTAATATTACTTAATATATTAACATTTAGTATAAATAATCTTGCATTAATTAATTGAGTTCAACATTTACTAATGCATTATCAAAATTCAATCATGGTTAATGCAAAGGGAATAAACATGTTTTTTTAGCTTAAATTACATTAACGTTAACAAAGATGAATAAATCCTGTAATAAATGTATCACTAATTGTGGATGTTAATAAAAACATTAACTAAAGGACCATTGTTTTTTATTTTTGATAATGTGACAGTTTGGACTTTGTAAGATTACCATTTATTGATTAAAAAAAAGTATCTTATACTCAGCAAGGCTTTATTTATGATTTTGAAGACTGTAAAAATAGTAACAAAACTATTACCTTTAATCAAATATTATCATTTAAAATGCCCGCTTCGGTTTTTCGAATATTTTAAAATATAATTTATTCTGGTGATGTCAAAGATGAATTCAGCATCATTGCTCCAGTCATCTTGTTTAAAATAATTCTTTGAAAATAAATACTGCAGGGGTCTATGGAAAAGATTAAAAAAAGTTAACAATTTATTTAATACACTATAGATTAATAAAGTAAATAAAGTAAACCAGTAACTTAACAAAACCAAAAAACTAAAACTATTATTTTTTTATTTTTTAACCAATTATAATTCTAAAAATTAATACAAACCATAAGTTTACATACGATTTAAATAAGCTGTATAAAACATAAATTAAAAATTTATTCAAGTGAAATTTATTCATTAAATAAATATATACAAGTTAAACTGTATGACAAAGTAATGAAATAAGTAAATAAATGTGTGAATAAATGAACTGAATAAATACACTTTATTACAAATAAAAAAAGAATAACTCAGAAATCACCCAACAATACTTTACTACAATAATACTAACCCATTTATAAAATGAATTTCTCATGGTATAAACTGGATGTTTATACATGTACTATATATACTGCCAATATGCACTTTACAATATGGGAGTCATTCAAATGTTTACAATTTATATAGTCCTTTAAAAGACTAAAAACACCAGAAATAAAAAAAAATAAAATAAATAACTTTATTTTAACTTTAAAAGCATGTCGTATTTGAATTTGTATTATTTAAATGGCAAAATGTAAAGACAATTTTATTTATTTATTTTTTATTATAGTCTAAAGTAGGCATGGCATGATAACTGTTTTCAAGGTATACCGCGGTTTGGAAAAGTCAAGATTTAAAAACTGACAAAATGTTCTGCTATACCGTTCCTAGGGTACTTTTTTTTTTTCATTTTGTTTTTAGTTTAGGAAAACAGTATCTCCAGCAGAAAAATCTAAAAATCTGTGTTTTGGAAACTAATGAAGACAGCAAAAGTCGATGATTCATTTGAATTATTAAGCCTGACATGTTTACTGTCCCAAAATATTTTAAAAGTTTAATAAATAAAATAATAAATAAAATATATTGTGTTCAAAGGGGAAAAAAGTTTTGCTTTTTTACCCAGACATTTAAATAGAATATATATTAGAGCAGTAATCACAAAACCGTAAAACCGAGATATTTTCATCCAAGTTTATCATACCTAGTCCAAAGTTTAATGCAGTGAAATAATCATTTGTCTTATTTGGATGGCAAAATTTAAGCTACACTGTGACTAACGCTATTATCTCAAATAACATGTTTGATCGAACACCCAGAAACAGTTTGAGTTTGTCTTCATTGAATCATTTCTTTTTAAAGAAAATCTTACTAGCCCAATTTCCTTTAAAGCAAAAAAGCAAGAACACACATCCTTTTCTATACTCCTGCATTACAGTCTGTCAGGAGCCTTTTCCACAGAAATATATTCTTGGAAAAAGCTTTAGAAAACAACACTCTCACAACGATTCTAATAGCAGACATAATACAGTCTGCGAACAAACCATTTGAGCCTCTGATAGTGCAGTTAATGGTCTGGTAATCGTGTGGTATTAAGATCTGAAATACTTTTTTGTTTGAGCTGATCTATTGAGCGAACGCAAGATGAAAGCGTCTTCACGCCTACGAGAAGAATGAATCAAAAAAATGGAAGATTACAGAGAGAGAAAAAAGCAAGATGTGGAGTCATTTAAAAGGACTCAATCAATGCTCTGCTGCATTTAGGTTCTTCAAAGCCACAGTAACACCCACCGCAGCTCTGCTTCAATGAAATATGCAAATGAGATCACCAAGAAATAAAAAGAAAGAATACTGTACGTCTCTCTATATGTTGTTGTTGTTTTGCCAACATCAAACAGAATGAAGAAATTGTGGATACATCTTTTGAAAACATCAAAGCTGTACACTAATAATGAATTAAAGCAGTGGCTTAAAAACAAAATAAGGACATAAAGAAATCAATAAAAATAAAAGTAATATACACTAGAGGTGTGAACCTACACTAGTCTCACGGTTCTGTTCAGTTACGATTATCATGCCATCGATTCGGTTCAATTCGATATTTCGGTGCATCACGGTGCATTGACGGTGCTTTCCATACACAGTTTTATATTTTCTTCACAGCAGCATTTCTTGTATTAAAATGTATGAATATATTTATATTTATATACTATTTGTAATACAATTTTGTCATTTAATACAAACAGTCAGATATATAAACTGTAACTTTAAACAAAACGAGTATTTAGCAAATAATATAAACAAATATAAATATCCAGTTCAATTTCTGATCCTTGTCTAGTTCTCTTACACCCCTTTGATTGGTCACACCCTCAAAAAAAACGGTTGCGATTGGCTCTTGCGCGCTGCGTTCTTCACAGATGAGTGATGCTGATAAGCGGCAGGCGGCAGCGGCGATCTCACAGCTGATGTATGATAGACACGGTGGAGAAAACTCTGCAGACACGCGCTCGTTTCTGGATGCAAAAGTAACGCTGTAAAACAGCCGAGAAGAGAAGAAAAGCCACGCCAGCAGGTCAAATGGGCCACTGTGTGTGTGTGAGAAGAGAGAGAGAGACAAAGCGCGCGCGAGAGAGAGAGAGAGAGAGAGAGAGAGAAATGGAGTAGGCTACTTTCATTCTCTCGATCTCAGTGAAATAAGGGCTTTTGTTGTATATGTCAGTGAAAGACTGATCCAGCAAACACACACAGTGAAATTGTGCACAGTTTATGAGTTTTAAGTAGTTAAAACGCTGTAAATACTCCCGATCGCCTCCCTCGCGACTGAGCGCATATGAGGTAAATGACATCAGTAATAACCGGTTATGATTATTACTGAACCGATACCGAATTGTCCACGTCTGCATCGCAGTGCACCGAAAAAACTATTATTTTTGACACCCCTAATATACACTGTAAAAATGCTAGGTTCCACACAATTTCTTCATGTTGTCCCAACACAAACTGACTAAGTTATCTTAACCATTTTTACCAATTTTAATAGATTGAAACAATTACCTTGTCCCAAAACCTTTTAGGAATTGTTTCAAGTCATTTTAAATAAGTAGTTAGAACAAACAGCCAACAAGTCATTTCCTGATTGTATGCTACAATAATAATGCTCAGAATGACATCTCTAACTATCTGTGAAGCACATAAATAATGATTTAAATTGCTCGTGATTTTTTTAATTACGCCTAGTTTACACTACCGAATTACAAGCTTGTTTTTAACCCAATTTAAAAGTTACCAACCTCGCCGACAGATCGGGCAGTGATCAGGAAAATCACCGACTGCACCTTTAAGACTTCTACAATGTTAAAAAAGTTTTCTATTTTTATTATTTGATTTTCTTTCTATTCATCAAATACTGCATTTCTAAAAACATAGAGCAAGTTTTATAACAAACAATTATAATAATAATAATTATATTGAAGGAGCAGAACTGTTTTCAACATTGATAAGAAAAATAAATGCTTCATGAGCACCAATAATACACATTAGACTGATTTCTGTTGGATCGTGTGACACTGAAGACTGGAGGGATGATACTGAAAATTCAGCTTTGAATCACAAAAGTAAAACAAATATCCAAATAAAAATGTTTGATGTCTCATCCAAAAATCCTCTACTTGTTCCAAACCAGTTTGAGTTTCTTTCTTCTGTTAAACACAATGGAAGATATTCTCAAGTATGTTGTAAAAAAAAAACAGCCGCTGAATTCCAACATTCTTGAAAATATTTAGTTTTGTGATCAACAAAAGAAAGAAATTCATAAAAGTTTAGAACCACTCGAGTGTGAGTAAATAGCGAGTACATTTTCATTTTCGGGTGAACTATCCCTTTAATAATATATCAAATTGACTATCAAATTGAAGGTGCAGTAGGTGATCTGCCAAAATGCTAACATTATCAGAATAGGTTTGAAAATGTACGAAATTGTACACAGGTCAGCAGGATGCAGGAATTATATTTACCCAAAACTGGCATTGGGGTAAAGTTGGTTTTATATTCACACAATCAGACTTTTTCCTCAATAATATAATTTTAGAAAAGTATTTTTTGCAAATTCTAAATAGTAAAATCATATAATCAGCCAATGACTATAAAATACATCATTGTTCACATTCAATTAAATAATGCTAATGTTGTTTTGAAGTCATTCCTACATGTACATGCTACTTCAGATCCAATAACCCGCGGAACCCTTGAATAAATCACATAAATAAATATTCACACATAAATAGATGAACAGTTTACTCGCTTTATTCATGTGTCAAATCTGCTTCATTTGTGCAACAAATTCACTTCACAATAGATGCGGATTAGCGCCATAGGCAGGGCTTCTGTCTTCATTGCTAAATGGCTAACATGGATTTTATACAGATAGTAGCTGTTTATGTGCTTTAGAAAGCTGATAAAGAGCGTTGATTCGTTTGTAGCTGTGTCTGAGTCCACTAGATCCTTTCAGGGGTGCACCTAGCTCTGTGAGTTCATCAACTCCTCCAGAAACTATATCTGGATAATATGCTGCAGTGCTTCCGATTGACCTGAGCCAAGTTTGATGAACTGTTGTCAGGTGTCTGCAAGAGAATTTTCCCCCGGGACACCAACAACAGGCGCTACCTCAAAATCACACCCCTACAAGACCAAGCTCCTGATTAGTTAACACGGTGCGAATGTCCGCTGAAGTTCCGATTTTGCAACTCGAGCGACACATGTTGTCAATCGAGTAAAACGCTCAACTCACGCTGCTTTATTCACTCGCGCCGCCTCATTCACGCCGCAGGATGTCTATTCGCATCTTTACATTGATTTAACATGTAAAGCACTCTGGAAGGGCATCCGCTGTGTAAAAACGTGCTGGATAGGTTGGTGGTTCATTCCGCTGTGGCGACCCCGGAATAATAAAGAGAATAAGCGGAAAATAAAATGAATGAATGAATTTAAATAACTTGCGCTTGACACTTCATACGCGTCTGCGAGTGAACGCAGCGTTAGAGTGTGAGCGTGTCACAAGTTGTTACTGTTCGAAAATTAACGACTGTGCGAATATTAATCAAACTTCACCTCAGTAAAGCTGGTTAGGCAGAAGAGTGCCATTTACTTATGTTTTCATATTCAACTAAATAAACTTAGAAACAGATTAAAAAAAAGGAGTGCTAAAAACAGAAATATCCTGTCACCGTTTTACATTACAGTTACGTTACCACGACAACCAGTGATTCACTTTTCATTTTCAATTGTGCTTGCTGATCCTCGTCAGCGCTTGTTTTCATCTCCTTAAAAACACTTGAACAACTAAATGAATGCTCAGGTCTATTGAACCGACTTTATTATGAATGCTGGTACTCTATGAACTTGAAAATAGTCAATCTTTTGCCGGACGTTTTCAGTGGCTGAACAACACTTATGTGCATATAAACCCATTCATAAACAAGAACACAATCTACATAAGCTTTGCGTGACTAAAACAGTTTTAAAACATACCTGTCTAAACATAACACTTCAGCCATGGTGTTTTGACTCTGCATTTTTGGCAGAACCCCCTTCAAAAAAGCCCTTTAAGATCATTTACTTTAATCATTACTTTTAATGAGACTTTTAACCAGCACAACAAAAAAAGTTTCTGAAGACAATCACCTACTGCAAATTTATTATGGTCTTGCAAATATGCACCTTACCAAATTTTTCCAACACTAAAGTATTACGATGTGTTTAACTGGTACCTTGTTAGACATTCGCTGGCAGTGCTGTTCAGTGGTGTGGATCAGCGTTTGGTCCAGATCCACCATCAGCACTAACTTCCTGTTCCTGTGAAGTCTTTGCTGGTCCTCTCGGCCAATCTGCTCCGCTTGCTGCTCACAGAAAGAGAGATAAGAGAGAAATATACTGATTATTATAATTTATTAGGCGACATGGTGGCGCAGTAGGTAGTGCTGGTACCTAACAGCAAGAAGGTCGCTGGTTCAAGCCTCAGCTGGATCAGTTGAGTTAACTGTGATTTTTAACTAGTTATATAACCTTTACTTTACTCATTCATTCAATCATTTTCTTTCTGCTTAGTCCCCTTATTTTTCAGGGGTCGCCACAGAGGAATGAACCACCAAATTATCCAGCAGATGCAGCGGACACCCATCCAGCAAAAACCCATCACTGGGAAACACCCATACAATCTCATTCACACACATACACAACAGACAATTTAGCACCCGGAGGAAACCCACACGGACATGGGGAGAACATGCAAGCTTTACACAGAAATGTCAACTGACACAGCCGAGGGTCGACCCAGTGACCTTCTTGCCATGAGGTGACAGCGTTATGCACTGTGCCAACGCACCTTCCCTTTACTAGATAATATAATATATTTATAATATACATATACTATATATATATATATATATATATATATATATATATATATATATATATATATATAGAGTAATATTTTTATTAAATTGATTTTCAACAATAAGTTGTATATCTGAAACGAACGGTTAATCAGTTTTTTTAAAGATTTATTTTTTAGCCTTTTTGCCTTTATTAAGTACATAGGACAGTATTATAGGCAGGAAGTGAAGTGGGAGAGAGAAGGGGTAGGGACGAGAAATGTCCTTGAGCCGGGATTCGAACTCGAGACACCCTGAAGTGCTACTGAACCATATGTCAGCGCTCTAACCACTAGGCTCTTGCGCCGACTTATCAGCTAAGTTTAATGATTTGTTTTTTTATCCAGGTTTGACAAGAGCACTTTTAGCTTAGCTTAGCATAAATCATTACATTTAATTAGACCATTAGAATCTCGACCAAGTTCAAGAAACTTTGCTCCTTTATCGTGGCTGCAGCAGGCGCAATATTACACACTGTCAGTATTTGAAAATACCCCTTGGCAAAGTAACATGGTAAAAGTGCTGCGTAATATCATTGCACACACTGTGGTCACTGTAACAGTTAACAAACAGACCCAATGTACTGACACACACCATTTACTCTCATTCAAGTGGCTCTAAACTTTTATGAATTTATTTCCTCTGTTGAATACAAAAATACTATGAAAGCCAATAGCTGTTTTTTATTAATGTTCTTTACATCTTCCTTTATGTTCAACAGAAGAAGTAAGTGAAGGATGAGCAAATGATTTAGGTGAACTGTCCCTTACAAGTACACTTGATTGTACCCTTGATAATCTTGTGTCTTTTGTCTGTTCAGCAGAAAAGAGTTTAAATTATATAGAATGGACATCTTTTTGGTGCATTTAAATGAATCATTCCACTGTGTTGACCCCTGATTAATAAAGGGACTAAGCCGAAAAGAAAACAAATAAATAAATTCATATATTGTAATAATACTTAGAGTTTCCTTAAATATAATTACTAATGGTGTAACAGATCAGAAACCTCATGGTTAGATCACACTACAGTTTTTGAGTCACGATTGGACCATTTTTCAAATTAGAAAAAAAAAAGAAGACGACAAATGTCATTTGCTTTCCATTTATACAAAAAATATTACTGTAAAAACTATTTGTCGCTACCTGTTAGTTACACATTGTAATTGCTAAAACATTCACCATTGTCAAGTTATATTACACGTTGATTTTATACTTTACCACAAACAGTGTTAATACCTGAACTATAAACTGTTTTCCCAGTACTTCTGTTTTATTTAATATTTTGTAATGAACTAAAAAAAGTTTCAAAACTGAATCGCTCAGTCAAATGCAGCGCTTCGCAGGATCAATAAACATATGCAAATCATTATCATTTATCATTCATGTTGCGTAGGTTTGAATTGGGATCCCAATCTTTTAATGTTTAATTGTGCAGATTTACACTGAATGCATTAAGGCAGGCTAAACAAACAGTGACAGGAATAACCTGTAATTAATAACCTAAGAAACTATTTAGGTCCCATTACAACATTTTCCGTCATCATTATTTTTTACAGCAAAGCCAAAATGCTTTCATACACATGATTTGAATAATGCGGGAGACGATCTCTCTACAAATGTTATAATCGTTGGATCAACTACAAGTTTAAAAAAAAGGTATTGATCCGCAGGTCATGTGCATTCCGAACTGTGGGTTGTGATCAGTACAGATCACGGGTCAACCACACTGCAAACAATGCTTTTCCTACTTAGATTTTTTGTCTCTTTTCTAGTCCAATCTAAAAATTCTTATATCAAGAAGCATTTTCTAGGCAAGCAAAATATATTGTCTTGTTTTCAGAAATAATACACCAATATTAAGGGAGTTCTTTCTTAAAACAAGCTAAATAATCTGCCAATGGGGTAAGCAAAATAACCTTGTTTTTCTTTTTGTCATAAGATTATTTTGCTTACTGCATTGGCAGATTATTTTGCTTGTTTTAAGGAAAAACTCACTTAAATTTGGCATATTATTTCTTAAAACAAGACAGTATGTTTTGCTTGTCTAGAAAATTCTTCTTGATTTAAGAGTTTTTAGATATTTAGACTAGAAACATGACAAAAAAAGTAAGAAAAGCATTTTTTGCAGTGCATGATTCGTTACACTCCAAATATTACCAGTCAAATCTGTAATATTGTGATTCACATTACTACATTACTACTATTATTCATGTATTCATGCCCTAATATTAGAGAAAAATGCACGTTCAAATTTATTACAGCATCTCAAAAAATAAGCGACAATCTATGTAGTTTGCTTCATTTTATATCTGTAAACTAGTTTTCAGAAAATATCTTGCTGTCTGCACGAAAATGTGTTATGCTGTGTTCACACCAGACGCGGAACGTGCGGATAAATCGCGCTATTCGCGCGTAAATAGCTGCGTGAACATTTGAGTTTACTCGCTTCATTCGCGCGTCAAACCCCGCTTCAATTGCGTGTCAAATTTACTTCAGAACAGACGCGGATTCGCGTGATGGGCAGGGGTTCTGTCTGCCCGAGGACTCTAGCTTCATAGCTAAATGTCTAACATGGATTTTATAAAGACAATAACAGTGTTTATGTGCTTTATGAAGACTGAAAAACAGCGTCGATACGTTTAGGGTCGTGTCTGAGTCCACTACATCCTTTCAGAGGTGCATCCAGCTCTGTGAGCTCATAAACTCTTCCAGACACTTAACCCTGATGACAGAGACTTTCAGCGGTGCTTCTGACTTAGCCAAGCCGAGTTTGATGAACTGTTGTCGGTGAAGGCTGGAGGATTTCCCTCGGAACACCGACAACAGGTTCTACGTCACAATCACGCCCCATAAGAGCAAGTTTCTGATTGGTTAACGTGGCACGAATGTACGCTACAGTTCAGATTTTCGAATTCGAGAGATTCAACGCGCAAAACGCTCAATTCGCCCCGCGCCATTCGCACAATTTGCGTCATTCGTGCCGCGCCATTCGTGCGTATCGCGCCGCAGGATGTCTATTCGCGCGTTTGCATTGACTTAACATGTAAATCACTCGCGCTTGACACGCGTGCCGCGTCTGGTGTGAACGCAGCATTAGAAAAGTTGCCTTGCGTTTTCATAAGACTTATAGTACAAATTAGCTTTTAGCATCCACAGTATCTTACCTTTGTAGTTAGAGATTGTTTCTGAAAACCAAACCCAAAATGGAATTTGATTTTCGGTGAATGCAAGTGAATGAGAGGCATTCTTTGCAAAAGAGTTACTTTTTTATTTCACATAGAGAACTTCACGTGAGGAGATGGATTGCACAATTCTACTTAAAATGTACCCAATATTATCATCTCAAATATATTCAAGTACACAGATATTCATTCATTTATTTTCTTTTCGGCTTAGTCCCTTTATTAACCCAGGGTTGAAACAGCGGAATGAACCGACAACTTATCCAGCATATTACGCAGATATTTGTTAAACAAATTTCCATGATTTTCCTCAAACATTTTGGGTTAATTTGTTTTTCCAAAACTTTTCCAGGCCTGGAAATATCCTTGTCAAAATGCTATGACTTTTACAGGACCATATGAACCCTATACCAAATACATTTTAAATAAATCAAAATAAGAAGATAAATGATGGAAAAAGATACTACTATTGACGGTGCTCGACAACTGGCCCCAATATTCCACTTTGTTACACCCTATGCCTATATGAATCTCCATCCGCAGAGGTGTCAGACTTCAGGCACTCACCTCTGAGCTGACCATCAGCTCGGGGACACTGTGCACCATGGAAACAGTCGCTGTAGAGATGGGCGCCTGCTGCTTTCCGTTCTTGCTCTGCATTCTGGAAAGCAGAGAAATAGAAGAGCATCTTCAGCACCATCTAGTTAATTCAACAAACAACCCGAAATATCTCTAAGAGCAGACACAAGTGGAAAAACATGAGAAGCTTTAATAGCTTTACAGACGTCATTCGCTCTCTTTTTTAGGATGAAAACAATTTTGAACAAGAGACAAACAGAAGAACATATAGACTCACTGAGTTAAATCCTGGCCGCATTCTGCACACAAGCCCTTCATTACAATGGGATGACAGCATTCTTCCACCTTGGCTATCACAGTTCTGTTAAAAAAAAGACGAGAAATATGTGTACAAATAAGCAAAGTGATTTTCAAATGCACAGATATTTTGAAACTTTAAAAGACTTAGAAAATGTGTAGAAAGATTTTCTTTAAACTCGAGTGAGAGCAATATTTGACATTTTTATTGCTTTTACAACTACATAAATGTTCAGTTGACAAAATATTTAATAAATAAATACAAGCTTGACCAATATTTCTAATGCATGCAGCACCCTCTACTGTTAAAGAGTTTATTTATCAATATCTTTTCTAATTACTAGCCAGTCATAGATGATTACTTGAAGAGTTCTGGTGCCATTTCACTGATTTGCAATATTTTGGGTTACCAGTATTGAGTTTTATACTAGGCATGGGATGATAACTGTTTTCAAGGTATACCGCAGTTTGGAAAATCAAGGTATTGAAAAATAAACCTCAAACTTTTTCTGCTATACCGTTCCTACTGTATATGTAGGACTGGTTTCAATGCTAAGAATTTTTTCGACTGGCTCGTTCAGGCCAGTTGTTCAGATTTTTACTTAAAAGAAATTTTTACCAAACTTTTTACTGGTAATACCAAAAAAAAAAAAAAAAAACAGGTAATAGTTACATTTGAAGTCAGAATTATTAGCCCCCCTCTGAATTTTTTTTTCTTTTTCAAATATTTCCTAAATGATGTTTAACAGAGCAAGCAAATTTTCACAGTATGTCTGATAATATTTTTTCTTCTTGTCTTGTTTCATTCGGCTGGAATAAAAGCAGTTTTTAATTTTTTTTTAAACATTTTAAGGTCAAAGTTATTAGCCCTTTTAAGCTATTTTGTTTAGATAGTCTACAGAACAAACCTTGCAAAAATTGCCTAATTACTCTAACCTGCCTTTAAATGTCACTTTAAGCTGTATAGAAATGTGTTGAAAAATATCTAGTAAAATATTATTTACTGTCATCATGAAAAAAATAAAATAATAGGTTATTAGAGATGTGTTATTAAATCTATTATGTTTAGAAATGTGTTGAAGAAATCTTCTCTCCGTTGAACAGAAATTAGGGAAAAAATAAACAAGCGGTCTAATAATTCAGTGGGGGGGTTTAATCATTCTGATTTCAACTGTATTTCTTAGCCACACATTTTAAATAATGTGTCATTAATTTAGAATTTTTAAAAATGTTAATAAATGTATTTTAATGTTGAATAAATTCTAAGTGTTATGGAAACAAAAAAGCCGTATAAAAAATTTTGCAGGTATTTTATTGCAGTTCTAAATGATTTAACAGAAGGTGGCTGCTTTGCCTAAATAACGACAAACTGCAAAACCTTGCTACATTTTTTTCAATGTGTTGTACCCACATAAATGTCTGCTTCCAAGACATTAGCCTCAATTTGATGTTGCTGTTTCTTCACTGTACGGGTTGTTGCCAAGATGCAGACAAAAAAAATGTGCTCACAACATCCAATCAAGCAAGAGGAAGCGAAAAACAATATGGTGTTTACAACATCACAGAGAAGGTATCATTTAAAGGTTTAAAACACACAACTGTTGATTCTAAGAATTTATTTGCACGCAATTGACAAATACTCAAAGGCAAAAAAAGTTTATTTTGTTTTTTACTCAGACATTTAAAAAGAGCATATTTTAAAACAGTAATCACAATACTGCAAAACCTCCCATCAGAATCCTATTTCAGCCTATCCCTTTTTTATACATAAACGCAGATTGTCCTTAATACTCAGCTTCATATTTTCAGGATTAGAAGAGACTGAAGATCTTAAATCTCCTATAACTACTCTGTAAATATTTAGCATTTTTTAAAGATTCATTTTAACAATGAACTCTGTGTGTAAGCTTTATCTGTTTTATATAGTTTGTTTTGCTTATTTAAGCATGTTCTGCATTTAATTCAAGTAATGATTTAAAAGTAAAAATTGTCAAGGCGTCACGTGATTCCAATAAACATGAACTAAAGAAAATAGCACTACCACTAATACTACTACTGCTAAAATAATAATAATAAAATATTATATTTATATATAATGACGACAAAACTCTCATTTCAGTATCAAGGCTGTTTTTGTAACACTGAGCCTGAAAGTCTTTTACATCTATTTCGTACTTGTACATTTTCTGATGATTTTTGGAAACAGGTTTCAGGGTTGACTTTTGATTCATTTAACAAAATAATTCACTTTGACGAATGCATGATTCTTTTTCTAAATTGTAAAACTGGCTATGATACACTCGATACACTCGATAATGAACATTTTTCTTGGGAATTTTCACATATACAAGGCAAAAGTAACGTCTATTACTCCCTCCTTTATTTTTTTTCTGTAAAGATTTAAAAATAGTTTATAATTCTTTGACCTCAATTACATGAAAGCTATAAAAACCTCTCTAATAACGAAAAAAATCTAAACAATCTAATAATTTAAATATGATAAAGCCCCCATATATATAATGTAGTTTTTTTTTAATGTATGTTTTGCATCACTAAGTTTTGTATGACTGTTGTATATGTTATCATATAATCCTTTATGCTTTGTCAGTTATATGCATTAATAAAAATAACTAAAATAATACTTTTCTGGGCTGCTTAATCCCAAAACTTCAAACTTTTTTCAACAACCATGTGGTGCAAAAAAAATAACAATAAGGCACGTGGAAATCCTGGATGACTCTGCACGCTTCTCTTCCACTACTAACGTTAGAGTTCTCTGAATTATTCAGACCGCCTCCATGCTTTCAACGACACACCCTCACTCCAAATCTCCGCCCTCTACAACCGTACCAGCCAATCCGAATGCACCAAACTACAACGCACCAAATGACTGACAGAGAGAGAACGTTTCTGATTGGGTAAAAAGGGCGGGCCGCTCCCCCAACTCTTGTTTTGCCATGTATACACAGAGTTTAGGGGTTATCAGAGCTTATCTCCCAAGATATAATCAGTCATATTTTTCAGTTAATACGAACATTTTATGCCTGGTATAACAACAATCCCGTAAAACACCTTTACATGATATTAAACATGTTTACACCGGGCGCGTGGAAGTTGAGATGCTGCTGTCACGAGCTCAGCGTGAGCGCCAGTGCGCGTGCCACTTTAGCTTAGCGCGAGCACGCTCAGCTCAGAAGCAAGGGTTGGAAATAAAAGCGTAAATGTCAGCCGTGAAATCTGGGATATCAACGGGGTCATGAGAGCGTGTCTTACCCAGGCGCGATGACCTGCCCGAGCTGACAGCACAGTTCCTGCACAACTCCAGCGCGGTCCGACTTGAGCTTCTTTTCGGGCGCTCTGGACTCGCTTTCGGCGGGGATCGGCGCACATACCGCGATCACGGAGTCAACGTTGACCAGAGCTCCGGGTTTCACCTTCCACTCGAGCAGCCGCAGGGGACGAGCTCCTGCGGGGCAGCGGATCTCCGTCACCTGCACCACGGGGCCCTCTGCTGCCGCACCGCCGCCGGAGTCTGCAGGCTCCTCCATCAGGGCTTCAAACTTCAGTCAGAGAGCCGCAGGAAGCGCTTGGGGAGAGTTAATAAAAGTAGTAAATAGCTCTGAAAATAATCCAGAGGCGCGCAGGGAAATGAAGAGATAAAAATGAGCTCTGTTGCAGGACAGGCTGAGACGCAGGTTCACTCTTCCCGCCCGTAAACAGGAAACACAAGGCTGCAGCACGAGCGACACTCTATCCACTTCCGGGAGACTTTAATAACCCTCTTTAAAAAAAAAACTGTCGTTACCCTAGAGTATTCTGTTTTAGTTTGTAATAAAATAATGACAACATTTATGCGCATAAATATTTGGCTAAATATTAAAAAAAACGCGTGAGAAATAGATGAAACATTTAAAGTCAAACTGGTGAAACAGTTACAGTCAAACTGCTGCTTCAGAGAAAATCTGACTTAAGCATTTATAGCAAACTGTTTTTATGCGTCCCCTCCCCCGTTTGAGACAGGCAAACCCCTGGCTTGTGATGTAATCTGATGAAATATCATCATCACACCATCCGCTGTCAGGGGATTAGACCGCGCGTCATCGCAGCATGTAAACATTTAGCTTCATGTGAGGGAGTGATTTCACTTTTGTTTTATTTCGGCTTGAATGTAAAACTTACTCATTCATTTAAAAAGTTACCAAAGAGGATTACTCATTTTGCTGTATATTTCTTTATTACATCAATCTTTCAGATAGCATGGACTCACAGACAGGATTGCACTTGTCCTATGTACAGAGGCGGATATAGTGATTTAGGGGCCCTAGCATTGAAACTTAAAACAGTTTCTTTAAAAAAAAAATAAAACTTTATAGATATTTTTTTCTCTTTATATTCAGGGTTGTGTGTGTGTGTGCGTATAAACTGCATATAAAATTAAATGAAGTAAATTCACAAATAAAAAAACAAGCTCACAAGCTATGTACAGTTAATTAGCCTTACTTGTGATTTGTGATTAGATTTTAATATTTTCTATTAAGTGCAGTATGAATGGAACGTTCCACTTTTCATGGGGGCCCCTGGTTTAGAAAAGAAGTAATAATGGTAAAATCTTAATGGTTCTGAACAGATTTTACAACATATGATAGAAAAAAATTGTAAAATAGCTTTAGGATTATTAAAATAGGCTTCTTGGCATTAGCTGGGAGCCCTTTATTTCCCTGGGGCCCTAAGCAGTTGCTTACCTTGTTGGTTAAGTTCACCCCAGCTATGTACAGTTGATGTCAGCCCTTCTGAATTATTAGACCTCCTGTATATTTTCCTCAGTTTCTGTTTAACAGAGAGAATACATTTTTTTCTTTCTAAAAAGTTTTTATTACTAATTTCTTATAACAGTTCTTTTATCTTTGCCATGACAGTAAATACAGGCCCGTAACCAGCCTGGTGAAAGGGTTGGTTCTTTTTCTTTAAAAAAAAACTGGAAAACTGTAGCTTTTTGCAGTTATATGCCACATTTTCTGTTTAATTAAGAGATTTTAATACTGCATTTTAGTGACATTTTAAGCACTATTTTTAGCTGAATTATCTTGCTGGATGGTCAGCATAACCACACTTTTTGATATACGAAAATATTTCCTAAATTTTTATAATAAAGAAGACAGAATTTGGCTATTTGAATAATAAAAATGAAAACATAATAATAATAATCCGCACCTCCAAGTCTGAGGCCATGGCACTGGAAAAAAACAGGTTTGCCATCTTCAGGTTGAAGGAAAGTCCTTGCTCCAGGTGGAGTTCAAGTATCTTGGGGTTTTGTTTACGAGTAAGGGAAGGATGGAACATGATATTAACAGGTGGATTGGTGCAGCGGCAGCAGTAATGTGGTCAATGTACCAGTCCGTTGTGGTTAAGAAGGAGCTGAGCTGAAAGGCAAAGCTCTCGATTTACCAGTCAGTCTACGTTCCTAATCTTACCTATGGTCATGAGCTTTGGGTCATGACCAAAAAGACAAGATCTCGGATACAAGTGGCCGAAATGAGTTTCCTTCGCAGGGTGGCAGGGCGCACCCTTATAGATGGGGTGAGGAGCTCTGTCACCCAAGAGGAGCTTAGAGTAGAGCTGCTGCTCCTCCACATCGAGAGAAGTCAGCTGTGGTGGCTCGGGCATCTGTTTCGGATGCCTCCTGGACATCTGCTAGGAAGGTGTTCCAGGCATGTCCCACCATAAGGAGGCCTTGGGAAAGACCCAGGACACGCTGGAGGAGCTAATTCACTCACATAAAGAATCTGATCATCATCCACTCGAGAATGACACTAAGAAACTGAAACAAACTATATCCAGAAAAACTTTGGTAACTTTTCTAAACTGCTTCAAAATAACCTACCTGCAAAGCTACAGTACTGTTCAGAGTTTTAGGCACTTGTGTAAACACCCCAAAACACATGCAAATGATACATTTTAAGTCAGACTCAACACTGCATACACTGTGATCTTGTGACTATTGTGAATGATCACATTGCAATATTGATACTGAAACTACATTGCACAATTCTAATATATATTCCTAATAATAATATCTTTCTTTTTTTATCATTTAAAACTGTTAATGAACTATTTTTTTTTGTATGAAGGGCGAAAGACTAAATATCATTGGTTTTATGGACCTTCAGCCATGGGTCAAAGTTAATGCCAAACTACATTATATTACATACAAGGAGTCATGGGTAACTTAATAGTTTTTTCATAACATTTCAAGATATAAAATAAATAGAAAATATTACTTTAAATCGTATAAATCAGGGATGCCCAAATAAGTGTCCGCAGGCCAAAGTTGGCGCTTTTCAACATTTGATTTGATCAGAGGGAAAATGACTGGGAAGGGTTGGGGAATGCCTTTAACAGAGATCCTCATTTAACCTTTTGTTTGTTTGTTTTATTGTTGAGTGACAAAAATAAGCAAACTGAAATTAAATGTTTCAAATAAATGTTGTAAATGAATCAGATTTTTTTTTAAATGTACATAATGTCATGCGAATAGGAGATAAATCAGAAGACATCAGCGTGCAAATCAAGGCAAAGGCAGGTTTAACATAATTAGTGTATTCAGCAATGAATTCTGTTGTTTTATAAGTGGAATTTTTTGTATGGTTTTATTGTTATATGTTTGTTAAAATAATGTACATTTTAAAAAATTAGAATGCATTAGTACATACGGCTAAAGTCATTTTTCTATTTATTATTAAATAGATTAGGAAATTACCCATGGTAGTCTTAATGTAATACAGATTGAGATGTTTACTTTTGGCCCACAGCTCTCAGTCAAGCTTAGGTTTTGGGCCTTCATTAGAAAAGTTTGGGCACCCCTGGTATAAATGAACACATTATAGCCTTTTAAATGATAATGTATTGCAAAAAAAACATAAACAATCACTTTTATAACACAGTGGAGTTCAATGCTGAATACACTAGTCAGGCAGAATCTACGCTTGACTTGATTTGCTCACCAAAGTTTCTGCATTGTCGGGTCACAGTCTGTACATTTAAATAAAATCAGATTTATTTACACTATTTTAACTTTAAACAATAAAACAAACAAAGGGTTACATTACATTTTACTTGACAATCTTGAAACCATCCTCATCATTCTCCCTCTCTTCTTATATGGGATGGCGGTCCAAATGAAAGGTTGCCATGGGCCAACTTTGATCTAAATACTTACCAAATTCTGAAACTGGAGTGAATAACACTAAAATAAAATTTCTCTAATTGCTATCCTCAATATTGATTGATAATTCCAATGGTACATTTAATTAAGCTTATTTTAACATACGTGTGATATAAGGTTCTGTCTGACATTTTTTAAATTGAGTTATTGACATATTCTTATTAATTGACAACTTATTTACATTATGGGATGTTGTTTGTAAGTTGTTTTCATTTAAAAACATTTTATTTAAAAAACACATGTTACACACACAGGCCCGGCGCTACGGGGGGGTAAAGGGGGGCATTGCCCCCTCAGAAAGAGTTTGTGCCCCCCCAGTTTTTATAAAGGATTGTTCACTCAAACTAAAAATTCTTTCTGTCATTAATTATTAACACCCCCGTCGTTCCAACCTTCAGAACACACATTTAAATATTTTAAAATGTATGACATAGCAATTGAATCATGAAAATGGCTATATCATGATGGACAGTGCTTTATAATAACAATAATAATTCCTTACATTTCTATAGCGCTTTTCTTGGCACTCAAAGCGCTTTACACATGGGGGAATCTTCTCATTTACTTTTTCTCTTTTTTTTTTTAAATGCAAGAAAGAATATTACAAAGATATAATATGAACAAAGAGACAAAGAGGGTTAAATAAATAGAATTCCAGCAAATTAAACAAGTTTAAAGGATTTACACTAAGAAAGAGTTTTAAATGCAGTGTAATGGTTAGAGTCTTTTAAAGAGTTCACATACATTTCAAAGTCCTTTCTGAAAATAAAAAATAACGGTGTTTCTTTAAAAATTTACATTTATAGATGTAAAATTTTGTTTAAAAAAGCAATAAATCAATAATACATTTACAATGAGAAGGTTTTACACTCAGAGAGTAACCAAAGAATACAATTTTTGGGGAAATACAGAAGTTTGGAAATAAGAATTTTTTAATGAAATTGGAAAAGTCAACCCAAAACACTTTACAGCATTTAGGGCAAATATTGTTATTAAATTTAGCTAGTTTGGTATTTATTGGGTAGCAATCTCCTCATCTACCACCAGTGTCGCATCCACCTGGATGAAGCGACAGCAGCCATTTTCCACCAGACCGCACACCACAGAGGAGTAATGAAGCCAATTATGATATGGGGATGGTTAGGAGGCCATGATGGACAGAGGCCAGTGGGTAAATTTGGCCAGGATGCCGGGGTTAAACCCGAACTCTTTTTCGAAAGACATTCTGGGATTTTCGGGTATATGCTGAAGCATGCTAATAGGACTTTTAATTTGCCAGTAACCTGCGTTAAGCGCTTCCGGCGAACTGTATGCCAAAGGAAAAAT